CAGGGAACCCCTCCTCTGGGTCTCAAATCAAGGGTGTTGGTGGCCAGGGGGGTCACCAACACCACCCAAATTTGTGGGATTGGGATTTGGGAAAGACCCAGTCCAGGTTTTGGTCTGACATTGGCACCGAATCTCTGTCTGGAGGGGGATTCAGTGGTAAAAAGGTGAAACTAAAGCAATTTATGCACTGCTGTGAAGTGGGGACTCCCTCTATGTCTCCAATCAAGGGCGTTGGTGGCCAGGGGGGTCACCAGGGAGACCCAAATTTGTGGGATTGGGGAAAGATCCAGTCCAGGCTTTGCTTTGGGGTTGGCACCAAATCTTTGTCTTGAGGGGAATTTAGTGGTAAAAAGGTGAAAATAAAGCAATTTATGCACTGCTGTGAAGTGGGGACTCCCTCTATGTCTCCAATCAAGGGCGTTGGTGGCCAGGGGGGTCACCAACACCACCCAAATTTGGGGGATTGGGATTGGGGAAAGACCCAGCGCAGGCTTTGGTCTGAGATTGGCACCAAATCTTTGTCTGGAGGGGGATTTAGTGGTAAAAAGGTGAAACTAAAGCAATTTATGCACTGCTGTGAAGTGGGGACTCCCTCTATGTCTCCAATCAAGGGCGTTGGTGGCCAGGGGGGTCACCAGGGAGGCCCAAATTTGTGGGATTGGGGAAAGACCCAGCGCAGGCTTTGGTCTGAGATTGGCACCAAATCTTTGCCTTGAGGGGGATTTAGTGGTAAAAAGGTGAAACTAAAGCAATTTATGCACTGCTGTGAAGCAGGGACCCCCTCCTCTGCGCCTCCAACCGAGGACGGACAAACCCAACCGAGCCAAACCCCAAAACTCCACTCAAACCCCCCCAAAACCTCACGTGCCACCACTCCAGGCCCCTAAACACCGACCGTTAACGGGTAAATGCACCGGGAAAAGGGAGGCCGGGGGCTCCGGCGCCTCGGGCTCACCTGAGCGCGCGGCTCAGCTTGTCGTAGTTCATCTGGGGTTTGCATTTCCTCCGGCCCCACAGGCGGGCGACTTCGTCGGGGTCCTTGATGACGAACTCGCCGTACTCGCCCTGCTGCCAGGCGATGACGTGGCGAAACTCCTCCTTCTGCAGCAGCTCCAGGATGAAATGCCAGAGCTGGATCTGGCGCGAGCCGGGGCTCGACTCCGTCTTGTAAGCCCACTCCGGGAAGTGATAACCTTGGAAAAAAAAACCCCAAAAAATCTTTATAATTCTAATAATTATTATAACAGAGCGAAAACAAAGCGGCACGGCCGGGAACGAGCGCTTTTGCTGCGTATTTAGCGTGTTTTGGGGGTGTAAATCTCTTAAACATTCAACGTGGAAGAGGAGGAACCCACCCCAGCCGCTCGCTTGGGCACATTTCAGCCTCCTCTCCTGGGAAAATCCCCAAAATGAAGAACCCAAAAGGGTGAGGAGAGGCAAAAAGGAGCCTCAAAGCTGCACTTTTATGCCGGGTGGTTGAAATAATCGCACAGATTTGGGCTGATGGGGAGGGCGGGCGGCTCTGAGCAGCTCCAGTTTCCCCCCTCCCACCACCACCTCTTCCACCCCCAGTTTCTGAGCCGGGCGCGCTCCAACCTCAGCGGCTGCCAAGTTTGGCTTCCCCGGGCGCTGAACGCGAGGGGTTCCCCAAATTTGGGGCGCGGGGCGAAGCCTCCTCACGCTCCAACTCCCCCTGCACCGCGGCACAGCCACCGGGCTCCCAAAGCCTCCCCCCCAGA